GAGATGATAACATGTTTACCTTCAATGCAGTGTGAGGCTCTTCAGAGAAAAGCATGTGTCCATGCATCAGTGTGAATGTGTTGTGTTTCTGTGTGTTTGCACTGAGTTTATCAGCACACTCTTCTTCTCCTGACGGACACGCTACACGCGTGTGCTGGAGGTGTGTGTTGAGCAGCGTGTGCTGGAGGTGTGTGTTGAGCGATGCGTCAGCAGCGGGAGGGCCGAGCAGCTGTGATTGGCTACAGCTCTCTGACTTGGGCTGCCTTGCCTTTTTTAGGCATCCCAAATGGAGCTGTGAATTCCACACGGCTGGCAGAGAGACAGAGAGTGACACAGACACACAGAGATTAGAGCGAGAGCAGCACAACAAACACACACACACACACACACACACACACACACACACACACTCGCACACACACAGTTCTTCTGGATTGAGTCTGTCTCAGTTTGTTCTGTTTCTTCATGTGACTCCAGACAGACTGATGATGATCAGATCAGATCTCTGTGTGCAGCACTAACATATATCTCACTGCATTATTACAATTAACAGATATTTCCTCCTGACACACTACAGCAAAAGATAGAAATAACTGACTTCAAACCATTTTCAGCTGCTGGAAACACTAGTGTTGTAATCATTTTGGCCAGCACAGTATATATACGCACACACTCAACATCAGTGTCAGCACTATTTACTCTCATAATTGATTTTTTGATGGTTAAAATACAGTGATATATCTATGGAAGCCTAAAAAAGGACTTTTTATCTCAATTCTGACTTTTTTCTCACAATTTCGAATTTATGTCTCAATTCTTAGTTGTTGTTTTTTTTTCCGCAATTCTGACTTTTTTTCTCAGAATTGTGACTTTATTTCTTGGAATTGTGAGTTTATAATCTCACAATTCTGACTTTGTTTATATCACGCAGTTCTGAGAAAAAAAGTCAGAATTGTGAGATGAAAAAGTTGCAATTACCTTTTTTATTTTTATGTTTTATTCAGTGGAGGAAGCGGGCTTCCAAAGATAATAAAAGTCCTGCTTCCGACATATCGGCCAAACAGAAAAAATAACTGTCTGATGCCTATAATTAAAAAAATGCCAAATATCGGCCAATATATCGGTTTTTGCAAATGACGTTATGTCGTTATTTTGTAATAAACATAAAACATATTATATCGATATTGTGTCTATCGATATAATCAACAACTTTAAATAAATAGTAGTTCTTTTCCTTGTTAAAGTTGTTAAATTGACAGTCTTGTCTTTTTGTCTGATTTTCAAATATTTTTTTGGTTCAAATTGAAGTTTGTAATTTTATGATTCTCCTCGTATCTGGCTGGTTTGGTTTAGGGATGTCAGCGATTAATCGACGATCGATGGTCGATTAAGCTGTTTAATTTTGGGCTGCGTGCGCAAAACACGTGCGATGGGGCTGGATCTTTGCCTAAAATAATACACTAAAGTACAAATTAAGCTTTTAATGTGATCCAAACTTTAAAAGTACATTTAAACAGAAACAATACAAAGTTCTTTTGTACTGAAATGTAATGTCATGTTTAATTATAATTTCCCCAGATAAATGTTTCATATCGGGATCTGTGCTTAGACAGGGCTGCGTGACACGAGCAGGACAGATTTATATAATTCGTTCCTACCACTTATTAATTTGTGGCCACTGTCCATGTTTCATTAATTTGTTCCCTAGAATATGGAATGATATTAGACTCAAAATGATTAATAGATGCATGCACAATTATCCATGTACTGCATACATTTTATACATGTATCTTACTAACCACAAACAAATGCCTTTCAATTTGAGTCTGTAGAATTCGGGATTAAATGATTGTGCAGCGATTTGTACAAATACAGACATGTTTGCGAATAAAAACGTTCTGTTCTGCATTAATATATCATAAATTGCTCGTGCAAAAAGGAATCCGTGCATATGTGGATCAGGTGACACGCGTGCATTAATTGACGTCTAGTTCGAGTCGATCTTGTTCGGTTTATTTGGATTTTGAGATTTCATTTTCGCAGTTTACAGCATTTCACGTCCCCCACACACACAACTACCAATGAACAAGGCCCAGTGCAATTCATTAACGAGTGCACGATTTGAAAAATGTGCAAATGTGCGTCACTACACTGAAACAAATGCTTTTCAACCGGTGTCTGCAGAGATAAGAATTACATTAATGTGCAGCATTTTGTTCAAATAGAGACATATTTGTGAATACAAATGTTACAGTTTGTATTAAAGTATCATGATTTGTGCATGTAGCGATTAAAACGTGCATTTGTGGATCAGGTGACACGCGTGCATTCATTCACAACTCTTCTGAGTCGATTCTATATGATTCATTTGAATTTTGAGACTTTCGTTCCGCCCTTTTAGCCTTGCCCAATCCACAATGTGAGTGAGTGTGTGAGTGTGTGAGTGTGTGAGTGTGTGAGTGTGTGAGTGTGAGTGTGTGTGTGTGTGTGTGTGTGTGTGTGAGTGTATGACTGTTTGTCAAATCACGTCACGTCTCATGTATTGATGTTTGTGTTTCTAAACTCAGAATGAATGATTTCATGTTCATGTTGTGTTTGTGTAATTGTTCATCTGTGTGTTTGAGAAGCTCAAGGTTACATAGAATGAGAATAATGGCTGTAACAGAGAAACCGTTATTAATTATCTGCACATACCTGATGATGACAATAACCAGCGCATTTTCAGAAATAAAAGCCCACGGCTCATTATTCTGCTGTGAGGAACAGAAGCACTGAATACATGAATAATACTGTATTGTGGAGATATATGTGCAGTTAAATAACATAAATGAGCTTGACGGTGCGGTGTCAGTAATGACTGATGAATGTCAGAGAAAATAAAACAATGACAATGAATTGGATGCATTTCAGCAGCTGGATGCGTTTGCTTTAATACAGTAGATACTGAATGCTGTCCGTTCTACCTCTGACCTACTCAATCAGTCACATATAAACCTCTGGAATCATCGCTCAATCACTCACTGCACTTCACGAGGTGTTCATCCGTCTGTGTCTCTGGTTTGGTAGCATTTGTCTTGCTGTGGTTTTGCCTCTGACAGAAGAAACCGGTTTAATTGAGCTGCAGATCTATAACTTCAACTTTTGATTTGAGCTTCAGATGTTTATGCCTGTAAATGACAGTGTGTTTCAGTATGACTGAACACTGTTCAGAAGGGATTTATTTTTTTTAAAGTAACACTTTTATTCATCAAGGACACATTAAATTGATCAAAAGTGACAGTAAATAAATGTATAATGTTAGAAAAGATTTATATTTCAAATAAATGCTGTTCTTTTGAACTTTCTATTCATCTGTGAATCCTGAAAAATAAAATGTATTACAGTTTCCACAAAAATATTGTGCAGCACAACTGTTTTCAACATTGATAATAATCAGAAATGTTTGTTGAGCAGCAAATCAGCATATTAGAATGATTTCTGAAGATCATGTGACACTGAAGACTGGAGTAATGATGCTGAAAATACAGCTGCGCATCACAGAAATACATTACAGTTTAACAGATATTCACATAGAAAACAGATATTTTAAATTGTCACATCACATCGTCCGAAGAATTCCTCCATCAGCGTCTCATTTCACATCTCGCTCCTCAGCACCACACACTTGGGTGAAGTTTCAGAGTGAAAGATCCACTCGACACACTGCAGGAAAGGTGTGTGTGTGTGTGTGTGTGTGTGTGTGTGCACGCATTTCCTCCTCGAGGGCCCTCATAACCCACACACACACACACACACAGTGAATGTAGTGTAATATCTAGTATATCTAGTATCTGACACTGTAGTAAGATGAAAACAGAAATACATCTCTACCAGAGTAATGCAGATGATATATGAGTAATATGTGTGTGTGTGTGTCAGATGTGTGGAGGCTCTGTTGCCTTTAAGAGCAGTTGTCATGGTAACAGTCACAATAAAAGATGAGCGCATTGAACTTTATTTGAACTGCAGGATTTACTGTAAAACTAGTTCTGAAGATTCGGCCGGTTTTATAACTGCAGTCAATATATATGTGAAGAATAATGTTCAGTCAGCTGCTCGTTATGAGAAAACACACTGCAGCGGGCTGTTACTGTTATATGAACGAAAACTATTAAAAATAATTTTTAAAAATTGAAATAAAATATAAATATTAAATAGTAAAACAAACTTACATATAAACTAAAAATAAAATTCAAATAAAATAAAGCTAATTAAAAACTAATAAAAATGGCAAAATCACATAAAACTACATAAATATGATGAAATACTACATTAAAAAATTTAACTCAAATTAAAATTAAACTGAAAATATAAAAAAGCTCATTCAAAATATTAATAAATACTATAATAGTGTAAAATAACACTTTGTCTCATCTTGAAGGGGTTTATTTGGTCATTCAGTGTTGTTATTGTTATATGAACTAAAACTATTAAAAATCATTTTCATTAATTGAAATGAATTAAATATAAATATTAGATTAAAAAGTTAAATCTAAACTTAAAAAACGTAAACAAAACTCAGAAATATTTTAAACTGAAATAAAATAAGTTGAATTCCTAAAATTACAATAACTAAAAATGTATGAATGCTAATTATAAATAAATTAAATATTAATAAACTTACTAATTACTAATAAAAATGACAAAATCACATAAAATTACTACAACTAAAATTTAGTTACATTGAAAAATTACAAATCAAAACTAATTCAATACCTTAAAATGATAAAATAGCACTGCTTTTATCATCCCGAAGGGGTTTATTTCAACATTTGACTGAACATTATTCCATGGTTACTTATTAGCTAATTAAATGCATGGAAAAGAAATATGAGGTGTGTATGGTTTTACATAGTTTCAGAAAAGCATGATGTTAATGATATCTTTGTGTCAGGTCATGCGATGGTTTGTGTCCGTTAGCTCTGCTGCAGTGATGATGATGATGATGCTCTTCTTCACAGGACGCTCTGAAGCCGGTGTTCTCCGTGGCCAGCACCACCGTCCCCAGCTCCTCCAGCAGCTCGTCCTTCCCCATCACTAACTACCTGCCACCCGCCGGCGCGAGCGGAGCCAAGAGCGCAGGAGTCATGCAGCTGCCCGCAGGATTCACCTTCATGTCAGGTGTGTGTGGGGTCAGAGGTCAGGGCTCATCTGCTGTTCACTGCAATGTATTCAGATCCGTCCCATGCCTCTGATTCATCTGCTGTAATAAATGAGTTTTCTGTTTTATTAGTCAAGTCAAGTCGAGCTTTGTCATTCTCGCAGGTGCTACATAGTTAAACATAAATATAAGCATGCAACACTAGACGTAAGAAACTAGTTTTAAACCTATACATAACTAACTTACTGAAAGCGGTAATCTAGCTATAGTTTATTATAAATAGTTGACTGCACATGCACGTAATCTAAGACGGACTATACAACTTTACATAATGACTGTACATGATATTGTGCAAAAGAGGTATTATAAGGTAAGAAGCAATTTGTGGTGCATTCGCAAGTAAACATTTGTTCTTAAGTTCTTGTAACGGGGAGTGTTTATAAAAAAAAAAAGTGTCTGGTGCATATAGAGAGAAAAAGAGTGTGTTACTGCAGGTGTACAGAAACAAAGAGTGTGCACAGATTAAAATAAGTTACTAATAATTACATTTCATTTACAGTTAATTAAAATTCAAAACATTCAAACTTCAATGTTCTCACCTTTTTTTAACCAATGAATTTCCTAGACTTTTCCAGTCTTTTGTGTTTTCCTGGATAGCAAACAAAAAAATTCTAATTAAAAAAAAAATTTAATTTACAGTTTCTATATTTTAGATATTTTGAAATATTTTAGACCTCAGCGTAACCAGAAAAATATATGTTCAGTATAAAAACGTCCATGTCATATAACATTTCAGATTTACTACATAAGAATTAAAGAATAAGGATTTTTAAAAAGATTTTTCACAATAACAATTTCTATAGTTTTTTTAAATATAAAATATATCAGTATAACTATAAAAAAATCATATTCATTGCAGAACTTTCCATGATGATTCCAGTCATTCGTAATTTACTTTATAAAAATTAAGAAGCATTTACATTTTTTTTTACAATTTATATATTTAAAAAAAATATTTAAAATACATTATTCCTCAGCATAACCAGAAAAATGCATATTTGTTATATGAGCATTAAGCCGAACAAAATGAAACACTGGGCCGAAGGACGAACGCAAAGTTTTTTTTCCCCATGTATAATTTTTTCACCATTGCATAAATTAAATACCCAAATTTTGCCTTTACTGTCTTGCTTTTTTTTTTAAGAAATATGTCTACTTAACACTAAACATTTTTTAACATTCTAGCAGACGTTATACCAACAAAGCACAATTTAACGTAAAATTAATAAGTTAGTAAAATAATATTTTTTGGCCATTTCTGAGACCCCCTTCTTGAATCAGAATGTATTTGTTACTGTACAAATAAATGCAGCCTCACTGAGCAGAAGAGACTTCTTTTAAAACATTAGAAAATATTTCAGATCCCACAAATAGATACAAATCTATTACAGATTTGAACACTGTGTGAATGTTATAATAAATGTATTAATATGGCTATTGTAATAATTATTATTATTATTATATTAAATTTTTTTATTTGTATTTTACAGAACAGTCAAATTACAATACTAACATTTATGAATGTTGATGGAGCTTTTATTTTGGCGGAAACCCGCAGGAAGACCTCAGTGCTTCTGTTTGTTGACAACAGTCAACAACGTCTACAAGTGTGATATTGCGTTTATACAACACTTTGAGTGTGTAAATACATAAGAAACAACAACGGAGTGTCTTTAAAAGCCCTCTTTTGTGCAGAACTACTTCCTTCCACCACGAAATCAAATCTAAAGTTGACAGTTTAACAGCTGAGCTCAAGCCTCCATTACTAATTCCAAAACGTCACTTTAGAACTAGTAACGAAGGAACGTTGAGTTGCTTCAGTAAAAACTTATTGTATTACAGGCGGTGTATTACATCGAGTAGAGTATTACGAGAGAGAGATGGACTGAGTGAGTGAGATTACGTGCATCTGATACAGAATTCACTCTTCAGCTCAATCTCATATTCACAATAAAACTTTAGTTTGAATGTCCGCTGAGGAAAGCGATATCTTTGTCGTACTCTCCTTTCATCTGTTAAGGGCAGGCGCGGACTGGCCATTGGGAGAACCGTGACTGATTTGGCCTGCTGCCCTGTGTTTTTTTTTTAATATTATTAATATATAATTGCCTGCTGAATGTACTAAAGCGAATATTTCTGAATTTGCCATTCAATAATAAATCATGAATCGGTTAGTCGTGACTGGCAACACTTTATGCGCGCTCCGCTCCGCCGCCAAATGGTTTGGATCAGAGTAATCAATGCGAGAGATTGTCTAAATTGAGGTCCCCATGGGTACAAAAGCTTATAAATCATACAGAATGAGTTTTTTTTGAGAAAGTAAAAATGCACAAAGTTTCCTGTGAGGGGTAGGTTTAGGGGTAGGGTTGGTGTAGGGCAATGCGTGCGTGTGTGAGAGTGTGTGTGTGCGTGTGCGTGTGTGTTTGTGTGTGTGTGTGTGCGTGCGTGCGTGTGAAGTGTTGGTTCACCTCATCCAGTATAATGTCACGCAGCGGCGCTCATCTCTAGTGGCTTTGATTGTCGTTGCGAAGGAGAATCATTTGCATGAATCTACAAAAGCGCTGGAGCTTGCCTGTAATGCCTGATGAATATTGAGAGTGCAGGTGAGCTGTGAGCCGGATCCCTCTGATCGGCTCGTTGGGTTATTTCTGGCTGCTGTGGTGGAGCCGCCGCTCGCTGTTTGACTGTGTTTCCTGCGTCAGAGTCGCGCAGCTGTCCCAGTCTCAGCTCAGCACAGCAGCTGCCAAACAATCTGCACCCTAAACCTGACAGCTGCACACCCCACAGACCAGGAGTTTCAGAATAAATGTTTCTAAAAGAAGTGTCTCCTGCTCACCGAGGCTGCATTTCTTTGATCAAAAATACAGTAAAAATGGGAAATATTATTCTAATTCAAAACAGCTGTTTTCTATGTGAATATCTGTTAAACTGTAATTTATTTCTGTGATGCGCAGCTGTATTTTCAGCATCATTACTCCAGTCTTCAGAGTCACATGATCTTCAGAAATCATTCTAATATGCTGATTTGCTGCTCAAGAAACATTTCTGATTATTATCAATGTTGAAAACAGTTGTGCTGCACAATATTTTTGTGGAAACCGTGATGCATTTTATTTTTCAGGATTCACAGATGAATAGAAAGTTCAAAATAATAGCATTTATTTGAAATATAAATCTTTTGTAACATTATAAATGTTTTTACTGTCACTTTTGATCAATTTAAAGCATCCTTGATGAATAAAAGTATTAATTTCTTTAAAACAAAAACATTGAGCATACAGTCAAACCAAAATTATTCAGACACCAGATATAATTTTTAATATTTTTTATTACTAGTGGGTGCAGGATTCTATAGTTCATAAATGTAAGTGAGGAGAGCAAAATAAAGTAAACTGTGACATATTACACCCAAACATACTTCATGCAGTGGACTACCAGTAAAATTTGGGACAAAAAATTATTCAGACACTTTGAGCTGAGCATGTGTTTCTTAAGTGTTTTTCTTTAATTGCTAATGCATCTTTTTACACCACAGACTGAACAGAATGAAGCACTGCTTGGTAATTAGTTGAGCTAAATTGGTTTTATCTAATTGTGTTCTTAAATTTAACAGCTGACAGCTATTCAACCGAATTCATTACATAACTTTCTATCAAAGTTATCTGACATTATCAAGATGAATTTGTTCTGACGCAGTTTAACTCCGAGTTCTTCTCATTTTATTACCATTTTCTAAACTACAGCGAATAAACTGTGATATAATGTGAGAAATGTTGAAGGTGTCTGGCCTGCATAATGCTGCATAATGAAACCCCAGCATGCTTTGTTTCTGCTGCTGTGTGTGTCCAGGCTCTCCGTTTGCTCCCGGGACTCCTGCGATTCCTCTCGGTCAGAGCATCACAGCGTCATCGTCCGGCGCGTCTCAGCCGTCTCAGGGTCAGCAGGCTGTGTTTCGTCTGCCGGCCACCGTCTCGCTCACCGGTGCGTCTCCAGCACACCCTCACTAGTACACACTGCTCAGTGTTCACCATCAGACCACCTCACAGTCCTCCTGTTATCATAGTTATCCACTATCCTGCTTTATTCAGTGCTGTTCAGCTTTTTACAGACTGAAGGTGTCTGTTGTTCTCTGCTGATCTGTGGAGATCAGAGGTTTGTGTGTGATCTCACATTTCCAGCCACATATTTTCATGCAAATTTTGGCATATTGCATAAACAACACTGATATGCAAAATGCACATGAAATATTACAATGTGCATTAAAAACATAATTTTTTATTTGATAAGAAAACATGCATTAGCTCTGATGGAGAACACATTTTTACTGAATAAATTCCTGATGAACAGCAAAAAACTACTTCATTAAGTATTAAAATAATTAAAACTGAGATAAAAATGAATAAAAACTTATTTTTAAAAAACAAAAACTAATAAAAATGACAAAATAAGTAAAACTTTAAAATTAAAATGAAATTCAAAATATTAACAAAATCTATAATAGTAACTCGATACTAAAATAATACTGATGCAAACCATGTTGTAAAATATTTGTGTTCAAATCATTAAGTAATTTATTAAGAAGCAGTGTAATTTTACTATAATTGAGATACTATTATACAGCTTTTATTGATATTTGGAATTGTTATAATTTTATATTTTCTGTTTTCATTTGAATTTTTGTGATTTTTTTTTTAGTTTTTCTTTTTTGTTGTCATTTTTACAAGCTTTTTTTTAAATATGTCTGCATTTTAGTTTCAGTTTCAGTTTGAGTTATTTTAGTGCATCAAGTTAAACTAAATGAAAACGAGATGTTGCCTTGGAAACTAGCTGGAATAAAACAAGTTTGAAATTGTATATTTTATTTACTTTAGTTAAAATGTATTTTATTTTAAGGAAGTGGTTTAAGTTCTAGTAACAGCACTGTTTTGAGCACATGAGATGGAAACGGTGCTTTATTTGTGAATGTTTAATGCAGTATTCTAGGTTTGATCCACAGATGTGAATGTAAAGAATAACTAGAGGATCGCTGAATCTCTGCTGAAGCTCGTAGTTGGGATATTCTGGAGTGTTTTAGTGTCTGGTGTAATGAAGCTCATCACGCTGCTGTGTGTTCGCTCATACATCCGCTTTGATCAGTATCGTATTCACTGGCACTGATGATCAGGTTGAGCTCACAGGAAGTGTGTGTGTGTGTGTGTCTGTGTGTCTGTGTGTGTGTGTGTGTGGAGCGATGCCGCAGCAGCTCCAGAGCATCCAGGTCCAGTCCAGTGGTCAGTCGAGCTGCATCAGCACCAGCGCCAGCAGTCCAGAGCTCTCTCACAGCAGCACAGCCTCCACAGGTACAGCACACACTCACATACTGCATATACTTTCATTTATATATTTTCTGCTTTAGTTAAAGTTTGTCATTTTGTTGTGCATTTTTTTAATGTCTGTATAGTTTTATATATATTTTTTTATTTGTTTTTATTTTATTTTCTGTTTTAGTTAAAGTTTTAGTAATGTTGTTGTGCATTTTTGTCATTTTTATTTATTAATTTCTTTTAAATGTCTATATAGGTTTATTAATTTTGAAGTTTTAGTTTTCATTTTATTGTCTGCTTAGGTCAAATTTTAGTAACTTTGTTGTGCATTTTTTGTCAATTTAAAAAAAAAATAGTTATATGTGTATATATATATATATATATAGGTGCTGTCAAATGATTAATCGCATACAAAATAAAAGTTTTTGTTTGCATAATATATGTGTGTGTTCTGTGTATATTTATTATGTATACATAAATACACACACATACAGTATATATTTTGAATATATATACATGTATTTACATGTATATTTATATTCATATCATTTATATTATAAATAAATATAATTATTAAATAAACATAACCTATTTTTCTGAAATATATACATGCATGTGTGTGTATTTATATAGACATAATAAATATACACGCACACACACATATTTAAAAAATAAATTAAAATGTCAAAAAATGCACAACAGAGTTACTAAAAGTTACTATATATATATATATACACACACAAAGTTATATATAAAACTATATAATACAAATACATATATATTTTACAATTTCTAATTAAAGTTTTAATCTATATATTATTTTTTTCTTTAAAGTTTTTTTAATTTTGTTGTGCATCTTTTTTTTTTTTTTTACTTTTACTTTAAGTTAAACTAAATGAAAACGACGTTTCCTTGGCTACAAAATGTTTTTAGCGTTTTCTTTTTTGTTTTTTGCCAGCTATATCACTGCCCTGCATTATATTTGCTGAATGAAATCCAATACTTGTTTCTTTCTAATTTTGGGCTACTGATTGCAAAAATAGTGTCTTTGCTCTTTCATATCACACTTTCTTACAAAACATGATGCATTTAGTTTCATCTTTGCTTTCGACAAGCATTAGTGTGGTGAAGAAGTCTTGTATTCTACGTTAATCATCAGAAAAACACCACAAACACATGATTCCTGTCTGAATCTGAGCCAGATTACAACTCTTTGACCCATTCTCAGCCCGTTTCACATGCATGACATTATTTGATGATTAATTCTGAATTACAGCCAGAGACGGAAGAAAATCTAAACATGAGCCTGATGTTTTCTGCTTTTACTGCATCCAAACAACCACAGAAAATGACAGATATTGTGTTAAAAAAATTTAATTAAATAAAAAAAAAAATAAACATTTTGAAAACCAAAACTTTTCTCATTTTATTGATTTAATTATTTTGATAAGTGCATTAAAGCAGATACATATATATAAGGTGAAAAATGTTCCTTCTTATTTTGTGTAAAGCTGATGAAGTAATACTGCCTCCTGCTGTCAGTGACGCTTCTCTGTGTCTCAGCTGCAGTCAGTCTGCCAGCCATCGTCACCTCCTCTGTGGCCACCTCCATGACGGGTCACATGATGTATCCCAGCCCACACACGCTCATGTACGCATCAGCGCCCACGCTAGCAGACGGGAGTGTAGCGGTGCTCAACGCATTCACACAGGGACAGGTGTCACACACACCGACTCAGGACACGGGTGAGACTCACACACACACACACACACACACACACACAGAGATTCACTCACACTACACAGAGACGGGTGAGACTCACACACACACACACACACACAGAGATTCACACACCGACTCAGGACACGGGTGAGACTCACTCACACTCACACACACTCACACAGAGATTCACTCTCACACACACACACACACACACAGATTCACACACACACACACACACACACACAGACACACACACACACACACACACACACAC